ACAAGATTTTACTGACAGTGGTGGCAGTATAACAAGGTTTTACTGAATCATGGTGGCAGTATAACAAGGTTTTACTGTATCATGGTGACAGTATAACAGGGTTTTACTGTATAATGGTGACAGTGTAACAAGGTTTTACTGTATCATGGTGACAGTATAACAAGGTTTTACTGTACAATGGTGACAGTATAACAGGGTTTTACGGTACAGTGTAGACAGTATAACAAGGTTCTACAGTATAATGGTGACAGTATAATAAGGTCTTACTGTATAACGGTGGCAGTATAACAAGGTTTGACAGTATAATGGTGACAGTATAACAAGGTTTTACTGACAATGATGACAGTATAACAAGGTTCTACTGTAAAATGGTGACAGTAAAACAAGGTTCTACTGTATAATGGTGACAGTATAACAAGGTTTTACTATATAATGGTGACAGTATAACAAGGTTTTACTGTATAATGGTGACAGTATAACAAGGTTTTACGGTACAATGGTGACAGTATAACAGGTTTTACTGTATCATGGTGACAGTATAACAAGGTTTTACAGTACAATGGTGACAGTATAACAAGGTTTTACTGTATAATGATGACAGTATAACAGGTTTTACTGTATAATGGTGGCAGTATAACAAGGTTTTACAGTATAATGGTGGCAGTATAACAGGTTTTACTGTATCATGGTGGCAGTATAACAAGGTTTTACTGACAATGGTGACAGTATAACAAGGTTTTACTGTATAATGATGACAGTATAACAAGGTTCTGCTGTATAATGGTGAACGTAAAACAAGGTTCTACTGTATAATGGTGACAGTATAACAAGGTTTTACAGTACAATGGTGACAGTATAACAAGGTTTTACTGTATCATGGTGGCAGTATAACAGGTTTTACTGTATAATGGTGGCAGTATAACAAGTTTTTACAGTATAATGGTGACAGTATAACAGGTTTTACTGTATAATGGTGGCAGTATAACAAGGTTTTACAGTATAATGGTGACAGTATAACAGGTTTTACTGTATAATGGTGACAGTATAACAAGGTTTTACGGTACAATGGTGACAGTTTAACAAGGTTTTACTGTATAATGGTGACAGTTTAACAAGGTTTTACTGTATAATGGTGACAGTATAACAAGGTTTTACTATATAATGGTGACAGTATAACAAGGTTTTACTGTATAATGATGGCAGTATAACAAGGTTTTACCCTATAATGGTAGAAGCATAACAAGGATTGTATTGTATAATGGTGTCAGTATAACAGGGTTTTATGGTACAATGGTGTCAGTATAACAAGGTTTTACAGTATAATGGTGACAGTATAACAGGTTTTACTGTATAATGGTGACAGTATAACAAGGTTTTACGGTATAATGGTGACAGTATAACAGGGTTTTACGGTACAATGGTAGCAGTATAACAAGGATTGTATTGTATAATGGTGGCAGTATAACAGGGTTTTACGGTACAATGGTAGCAGTATAACAAGGTTTTACAATATAATGGTGACAGTAAAACAAGGTTCTACTGTATAATGGTGACAGTATAATAAGGTTTTACTGTATAATGGTGACAGTATAACAGGGTTTTACGGTACAATGTAGACAGTATAACAAGGTTTTACTGTATAATGGTGACAGTATAACAGGGTTTTATGGTACAATGGTGACAGTATAACAGGGTTTTATGGTACAATGGTGGCAGTATAACAAGGTTTTACTGTATAATGGTGGCACTATAACAAGGTTCTACTGTATAATGGTGGCACTATAACAAGGTTCTACAGTATAATGGTGGCAGTATAATAAGGTTTTACAGTATAATTGTGACAGTATAACAAGGATTGTATTGTATAATGGTGGCAGTATAACAAGGTTTTACTGTATAATAGTGACAGTATTACAAGGTTTTATTGTATAATGGTGACAGTATAACAATGTTTTACTGTATAATGGTGACAGTATAACAATGTTTTACTGTAAAGCTGTGACAGTATAACAAGGTTTAACTGTATAATGGTGACAGTATAACAAGGTTTTACTGTAAAGCTGTGGCAGTATAACAAGGTTTAAGTGTTCAAAGACTGTGTAATAAGATTGAACTGCATTACATGTATTGGGATGGTACAATAAAGTTAGAATAGACTAGATACCTCAGACACCTTCCTGGCCTGCTTCTCCAGCTTGAGCTCCAGACTTGTGCGTTTTGTTGACTCACGCTGGACCCAGTCCTGTTTCTTCTGCCTCTCCTTACGCTCCTCCAGCACCTTGTTAAGTTCTGGCTTCTGTAGCACATTCTTACCCCTGTAAAATTAGGTCACATTATCATTCTTACCCCTGTAAAATCAGGTCACATTATCATTCTTACCCCTGTAAAATGAGGTCACATTATCGTTCTTACCCCTGTAAAATTAGGTCACATTATCATTCTTACCCCTGTAATATCAGGTCACATTATCATTCTTACCCATGTAATATCAGGTCACATTATCATTCTTACCCCTGTAAAATCTGGCCACATTATCATTCTTACCCCTGTAATATCAGGTCACATTATCGTCCTTACCCCTGTAATATCAGGTCACATTATCATTATTACCCCTGTAATATCAGGTCACATTATCGTTCTTACCCCTGTAAAATCAGGTCACATTATCATTCTTACCCCTGTAAAGTCAGGTCACATTATCATTTTTACCCCTGTAAAATCAGGTCACATTATCATTCTTACCCCTGTAATATCAGGTCACATTATCATTCTTACCCCTGTAATATCAGGTCACATTATCATTCTTACATCTGTAATATCAGGTCACATTATCATTCTTACCCCTGTAATATTAGGTCACATTATCATTCTTACCCCTGTAAAATCAGGTCACATTATCATTCTTACCCCTGTAAAATCAGGTCACATTATCATTCTTACCCCTGTAA